CTGGAAAGTCAATGAAAGGTAATAACATGGTCTCTGAATTTTAAAAAGATTACTTTGGTTACAGTCTGAAGAGTGAATTTAGAAAAGCAGCAAGAATTTATGCAAGGGGCTTGTTTGCTCTTCAGTGAGGCTTTCCATTTTTTTTCTATTCATTGTGACCTTTGGATTTAGAAAAGTTTTTACCACTGAAGTACCTTCTCAAAGTATGAATAGAAAAACCGGGTTAAATTTTGGTTTATTTACATTTGTAACACTTTAAACATTTCATTAATAATGTCAATCTAAATGATATTTTTGTTACATAATCTTTTCCCTGTGGTATTTATATCTGCAGTAATTAAATAATATAGTTGGTTCACTTTTAAAGAATTAGCTAAGGGAATTGTATTGCTTACGTTGGGAATGCCAAGCATTAAACATCTTTCAAAATAATATATAATAATATTAAATTGTTTATCAGCTTTTTACACTTAATCTGTTCTACTTAATCAAAAATACTAAATATGAAAAATAATGCATTAAGTTTATAATTTTAAATTAAATGATGAAAACATTTCCTGCCTTTCTTCAATAGGAAACAAAATAGCAATACATTGGCTCCCTCTGCTGCTTGAACAAATTATTTCATTTACATTTTGTCAACCTTTTTCTGATAGCATTATGTGAAATTGGCTGTTAGTTACTTTTCCCTCTTTTTCTTTCTCTTTCTCCCATGTGATAAAGTTGAGATATGAAAAACTATTAATAGTAAAGTTTTTTTAATCCTACTAAAACAATTGTTTCTAATTTTTAGTTTAATTTTTCCCAGGGAGATAACCTGCTTTGCCAATACTGTAAGGGCTTTAAATTCTTCAAATCAAGTTGCTTCCAGTTTCATCATTTATCTTAAAATATGTCAATTAAAACTTGTTTTATCGTATGTATGTGATATTTTTTAATTAAGCAACTAAGATTTAGAAACTTAATGGTTGATATGTGCTTTTTTTTACCTGTGAAATTATATTGAAAATAAATATCACACATATATTTATTTTTCTAAGCCTGTGTATATGTAAATGTAGGTGAAATAGATGAAGTAGTTGGCATTCTCACTTATCCTGGTTGTCTTTTTATTTTTTTGCTCTGCCTCCCCCCCCATATAAATCGCTGTAACTTATTTTCTTCTTCTTTTTTAATTGGCATGAAAGTATGCTTTTACTTTTAACTATTTAAAGAAAAATGTGTGTTTGCTTCATATTAATAGTTCTCAAATGAAGAAGGTTGGGATAAGGGGTCAAATTGCAGAATCGGCTGTGGGATTTTTTTTTTAAAACCTACCTCTCCCCATATGAGTGTATTATTTTTAGTTAATAGTTATTGCTTCAGTTTTAGTTTTGCTTTTTTGTAAGCTTAGGGAAGAATAGCAATGCCATGCCTTAAAACATACTCATGCTACAGATGTAAGAAAGTTTATTGCCTTAAAAACTATAGTATTTACTAGGTACAAGAAGTAACAGTGGAAGCTTATTGGCTAAGGGCCTGAATTTTGAAGCAAGACTGCTTGGATGGAAATCCTTGCCTTGCTACTTACTTTGTGACCTTGTCAAGTTACTTAAAGTTACTTAATTTCTCTTGTTTCAGTTTCCATATTTGTAAGATAGTAAAAACTCTTCAAACAGTGCCTGAGGCCTAGTAAGCACAATATAAATGTTTGTTACTTAGTAAAAATAAGAAGAGAAAGTACATTATAAAACTTCTTTCACCTACCTGCAACTATGACTAAGTGTTTATTATCATAGGCATATTTATAAATCATTTTAAGAATTTATAGTGGATAGTGTTGTGATTAGTGTTATGTGATTAAATACCATGATCAATTTAATGATTAAATGAAATAGTGAAATGTACATAGTGATATAATAAATGTAAGGTACCCACCACAGTCCCTGGCATATTAACAAGCATGTCTTTTTACCTGCTTTCTGTGGTGAACACTGTATATATAGCAATCAGTCAATAAATGTTGAAATGTTGATTGCTGTTAAGTTACCTTGACCTTAGTAATCTCTTATTGTTTCTACCAATGTAGACATTTTTTCCTTCCTTCCTTTATAGACAGAATCTTAAAAAATCAAAAAAAATTCTAGATCCAGTAATGAAAAGGTGAATTTGTCAATTCCAGTTTGTATTTTCCATAAGAGCCTTTTAAAGAATTAATTGGAGTTATACTAATCTGTATAACTGTTAGCTCCTAAAGGAAGGAGCTGATATATATGATCAGTGTTTCTAAAGATTAATTCTATTTTTCATAAATTTTTTCCAGACCTTTATTTTGTTTCTGAAGGACAGTATTTAGGTAAAGATGTACTCTTTATTTTTATTGAGTCATTTCCAATAACTTTCTAATGTTCTTTTAAAAATAGATTTGTTTAGTCACTTAAACTTTTCACAATGGGTCTTGGCTCATACAGGAACAAATTATTGAGAATTCAGATTTTTAAATGAAAATTTTCCAACAATGCAGAAAGTAAAAACATGCACACTTTTTGGGGGTCTTCAATATTTAGAAGAAAATACTTTAAAAATTAAAGGGGCTAAGGAAGATAAAGACTACAGTGAAAAATATAAAATTTTATACAGAATAGGCATCTTTCAATCACCCAGCATTTATTACATAGCTATTATATTTTAGGCATTGTCTCATGATCTGAGGGTACAAAGAAAACTTAAATGCATGTCCCACAGAAGTTACCAACTACCAGGATTTAGACCTGAGAATTAAAACAGAAAATCCTTCTGTTTGGATTAGAAATTTTCAGGAGATAAAAGATTATTTCCAGGATGAAAACCAGGGTCATGTGTCATGAGCATAAACAAAATGAAATTATATTTTAATTCTTTGAATATGTAGAAAATAAAATGATTTGGAAAATATTTTTCCCTGGAAGAATATATTTGTAAACATGATAATACTAAAAATATTAACATGAAGTACAGAAGTATGTAAAATCTGGAGCAACATAAAGCATTTAGAATCATTTAAACGTGTGTGTGTGTGTGTGTGTGTGTGTGTGTGTGTATTTCTAAATTAAATGGCTAAAGATTCTTTCCATTTTTTGCCAGTGTATTCTATATTAAAAGATATCTTTCTCAGACTTTTTTTTCTTTCTTTCTCCTTTCCTTTCTTCTTCTTTCCTTTCCTGACAGAGTCTCACTCTGCCACCCTGGGTAGAGTGCAGTGGCATCATCATAGCTCACTGCAACCTCCAACTGCTGGCTCAAGCAATCTTCCTGCTTCAATCTCCTGTTTAGCTGGGACTTACAGGCACACCATGACCCCAGCTACTTTTTCTATTTTAGTAGAGAGGGGGTCTTGCTCTTGCTCAGGCTGGTCTTAAACTCCTGAGCTCAAGGGATCCTCCCTCCTTGGCTTCCCAGAGTGCTAGGATTACAGGTGTGAGGTACCACTCTGGCCATAGACTTCTTGATAGAGTAGATTGTAGTTAGAGGGTCTTCACTTTAGTGCTTTTTCCAAGTCATCCTAATTTATATGTGAGTTAGAAAAGGCAGTAATGACCAAACTGTTATTGCAAATATTCACTATAAGAACTTAAAGTGTTGGAAAAGGCAGATGACTGAAGTGCACAAAATCAGATTCTAAAACAAAGTCTAGATTCTTAACTTTAATGTATATGAGAGTCATAGTAGAGGCTCATTTAGAGTGTAATTAGAGTAATTGCACTCTAAATGACCCTCTACTACAAACTTTAAGTACCTCTGATACTGTTGCTGTAGGGACCACATTTTGGGAAATTCTCTTCTAAAGTGGCCTTTTACAGAGCTCTTGATCTTTATCTAGATTATGTTAATTAGTGCTAATCAAAAGAAAACCTTGCACTTACCACAGTGTTGCTGTTCTATCTCAAACTCTGTGGAAATTGGCATCCTTGGATTTCTTAGAATAATTAAAGTTTGAAGTCCTAGGCTTACTACCAATGACTAAATAATGCCAGAATGTCTCCCTGTAGGAGGCAAATCTGATAACATCTATTAATATTTGTATTACATTGTGGGGTTAAGAAAAAAGTATCTAAGGATGTTTGCTTGTATTCATGCAGTTTTCTTGCTGCTGAACCAGTGGAAACAGATTGTAACTTACAGTTTCTCTTCTCATGCTAAAATTGAAGATTTACTTTTCAAAAGATCTATTAGTCTGTCATATGTTTATCCATGTACAGACCTGCACTGAAGTGTACCCTCTCCTGCCCAGTTTATCAGATGGATTGGTAGACTTATTTAGAGGGCCAACTTCAACTACAGTTTTGAAGATACCTTTATTCCTGGTATAGGGGAGGCCACCTCTCACAGTAGGTCTGTTATGACTTACTTTAGGGGAGTTCAGAAAAGCCTTCATAGAGGTTTTTGACCTACTTCCTTGGAAAAGGGCAAGGGGCAGGGGCAGGGGTAGGGAAAAGACCTTCCTGCTTCTGCTGTTTTTCAGTATGCCTAGGTGGCATGTTTTGAGGCAATGTGTCCTGAACCCCATCTTTCTTCTTCCCCATCTTCCTTCTCCCCATCTTCCTGCATGTTAATCTAGCATCTTTATGGAGAATATAGCAACTTCTTTATTCTGCCATTAGTATCATTTAGATAGAATCAGAGATTGAAGGCTGGGGAAAGCTGCCATGAATGGCACTATTTTGTCTCACACACAGGGGAAGAAAAAAAAAAGAAGGCAGTACTGTATTTGTCCATTCAGTAACTCACTGCTAAATTTTAAATTTCATTTGATAGGCTCGGTGAAATAGAGTTCTGTTTTAAGTCACAGGTAGCTATTCCCTGAAAAACATATTTTTGTTTTCTTTGTGGGTTTGTTTTTGATTGTGGGAGTGAGGAAAGGAGGGCAATGCATATTTGCTTTCTACCTAAAAGTGAATTTGTATTTTTGAGTTTGAAATATGAAATTTGTGAAATAAATTCTGAACTGGTAATTATAAATATCATTGGTTTTTATTTAACAGGATAAATGTGATCCAGATGATACTCAAAATATTTGTCATGTGTGGCACATGAATATAGAAGCCCTTCCAGAATGGATAAACTACTTAATACAAAAAGTAAGTTTCTTATTTTGAGTAAAATTATTAATGCAACCTTAGGAATGTTTTTGTCCTTGTTTTAGAGCTATTTTTCTTGGATGCATTGCTTAGCTAACCTATCAGCTGCCCCCACCTCTTTGCACTACTTTTCTCTCTTCTGTCTTATATAGCTATTTATCCTTTATAGATACATTCATACTATAAGTAATTTACATTACTCATAAATATACATAAGTATATATATGACATAAGTAAATATATATTATTATACATATATACACAATAGCTTACTTATTAATTGCCTAACTCTTCACTTCCATTGGAATATAAGCTTCATGAAGTCAGGGATTTTTATATTTTATTCATTCCTATGTCCTCAGCACCTAGATTAGTACCTGTTGAGTAAATGAAATATCCCATATGTATCATTAATACCCATACACATACATATATACACACACAGAAACTAAGTAATCAATGACTCTTATTGGTGTAATCAAAATGAAAATACTACACTTTAAAGAACTCTTAATGAAATATTATGACAGCAAGACCTCACCTTATTAATAATATGGCATAGTTATTTCTCACAGTTCAAAAACACTTGTCTTAGAAAAGTATAAGTAATATGATTTTAGAAAAATATAATTACATCTCTCCACTGAGTAGCTTACTTTTTTGTTAAAAAAAAAATTAACATTTGATAGATATCCCTTGCACCCATTCTCACATTGCAACAATTTCCTAGGAAAATGCCAGGGCATGGGTTCTAAGTGTACTGAACTTTACAAAATGTATTAGCACACTGCAGACGTGTCACTATCTTTGGTGAAAAGGTAATTTGAAGCCAGTTCACTATTAATTTTCAATCTCAGTATAGAAAATACACCATCTGTTGAGTGCAATCAATATCTTTTGGCTTGTGTAAAAAGCCAAAGGAAGAGCTTTATTCTTTTGATTGAGTAAAGTTCCCTCCCACAGTGCTTGGTATGCAAGAAGTGTATCAAAACAGACACTTTTCTGTGAGATTTTACTTGCAAATTAAGCTCCCTACACTAATTTGCTTCCTGGTGACATAGTGTATTTTTCTTTTCATTAGTTCACACTGTATCCATATTCAACCTATTGTTTAAAAGACTCTCTTTTGTAATTCTTAGGAGTTTTATTTGGATGGACATGATTTGCAATATGTTATCATTCTAGAACTTTGGTGCTGCTTATCTCTATTTATCGTAAGGCTTGTTTCCATTTGCTGTTCTGTCCACTAATCGGAAAACAGGAAGCTAGCCTTTTCTATGGCATAAAAACTTTCATGTGGTCGGCTTTTTTTTTTTAACTAACATTCTCTTTGGTTACTTCACAATGAAAGCATTGTCTTTATTTTCCTTTATTACCTGTAGGCCCAGTGGACAGTTGGAAAACTGAATTGCCCTTTCTGTGGGGCCCGTTTAGGGGGCTTTAATTTTGTCAGCACTCCAAAATGTTCCTGTGGCCAGCTTGCAGCTGTACATCTCTCCAAGAGCCGGACCGATTATCAGCCAACACAGGCAGGCAGACTAATGAGACCATCACTGAAATACTTGTCACATCCTAGAGTTCAGTCAGGTTGTGACAAGAAAACTCTGCTGACAGGTGGTGGCTCCAAAAACAGAAATCACAGGCTTTTAAACATGGCCCAAAATAATAATGACCCTGGAAGATTAACAGAAGCACTCTGCCTGGAGGTGCGATCAACATATTTTGAGATGAAGAACGAAAAACTGCTCTTCAAAGAACCAGAACCAAAGTACCAGCTTTTTGTTCCACAGCTTGTGACTGGCAGATGCACTACAAGAGCTTTTCATAGAAAATCACATAGTTTGGATCTGAACATCAGTGAAAAACTGACTTTATTACCCACCTTATATGAAATCCATAGTAAGACTACTGCCTATTCCAGGCTAAATGAAACACAGCCTATTGACCTTTCAGGCTTGCCTTTACAATCTAGTAAAAATAGATGTTCCTTTCAGAATCCATCCACTTTTGATCCTCATATGCTGCTGCAAAGGTTTTCAGTGGCCCCCCACGAGACCCAGACACAAAGAGGAGGAGAATTTCAGTGTGGTCTAGAAGCTTCTTCAGTGTACTCTGACCATGCTAGTACTAACAACCTTGCTTTCCTGATGGACCTGCCCTCAGCTGGCAGGAGCATGTTGGAGGCCTCGGAGGAAGAAGAGCACCTCTCCCCTCTGGACTTCCTGCACTCGGCTAATTTTTCCTTGGGTACCATTAATCAGAGGCTCAATAAGAAAGAAAGGAGCAAATTGAAGAATCTAAGAAAGAAACAACGAAGACATGAAAGATGGCTACAGAAGCAGGTAATTTCTTTAAAAAAAGAGTTTACTTAAAATTCTGTTTTATAAATATTGGGATTTGGGGAGTGGAGCTAACTTTTCAATACCTGTATTACAAAGACTTGGTTTTAATAATTTTTGAAATGCTCTTTTTAAGTACACTTAGTATTCATGCAGCCCTATTATAATTGACATGTATAACCCTGTCTCTATGCTTCATATGTGTTTAGAAAAAGCCTTTATGTAGTTTTTCCCAATTGTAATATATTTAGAGCAATATTAATCTTATCATATTGAGACTGGATTGTTTGTCACATATATTTTAAATTTATTACATGTTAGAATTGTTTTGCAGTGATTTTATTTCAGGTTAAGTTGGAAAAAATATTTCTCTAAATTTAATCAGGTGACAAATGTATTCATTTTTCATCAAATTTAGCTTAAATGAATATTTTTAAGGAGCTTATTTAATTATGTGCCCACAGGATCCAGATTAACTGTTCTAAATTGTGAAAATTATCTAAAGAGCAATTTACCCTTACTGTAATTTTGTAGGAGAGTGTGCTTCTCTGTGATTTGAACTACCTCAGTACCCATGAATATATGCTCCAGAGTGGGATGTGTGAAGAGACTGAACAATAAGAGTTAGGTGCTGTGGAAACCAGTTAAACCAATGGATGAGACACTTGTGAAAATTTGGAAGTTTGAGGACTTGTATATTTCTGAGTAAATCTTTTCTGCAAATTGCCTTTATTAGTTGCTTATTCTTTATAGACAGTAGTCTTTGTTAATCAATGTGTTGATTAACAGTATCCTTAGAGCTAAAATATAGAAAACTGCAGCTTCATATAATAGTTACTCTTTTAAAAAGTTAAGTGAACACATGGCTTATGATCCTTGTTGTAGGCTCGATAGAATAAAATCACTGCATTGACTGCTTCAGTCAGATTAGGTGTTTTTTCATCTTTTTACATAGTATAATTATAATTATAGGTAATTGCTCCTTATATTTTTGACTGATTGCTAACAAGAACATTCCAGTTTGGTTTATTTGCAAGTGATGGCATAATGTGATATCAAAGTATATATTCCAGAATATAGAGAGTGAATATATTTTAGCATCAATATAATATACTTCATGTTTTAACACTGAAGCTGCAAAATTCAGAATTTTTATTGAGAATTTGACTTATACCTAGATAAATTGGAGGTGATCATATGTTAAATGAATATTCAGAAATAATACCTTAAAATGATTAATGCAATGTGAAGGGCTCTAAAATGATTAATTCTCTAGCAAATAGAAATTTAAAAGAAGTGTGAAAATTATACTTCTTCTATACTATAAACATATGTAGATAGCATCTTCACGTTTTTAGAAACGTGTTTAATTCTTGGGCTAGGTGCTTTGGAAAACCTCAGCTATATTAGTAATCATTTTCCAGCATGGGAATACTCTATTGTATTTAATATATAGTTTAAAGTAAATGCAAGGTTAAGGATTTTTTACTTTTGTATAGATGAAGTTATTTCCATTCATTCACATATGTGATTTAACCAATCTGCTAGCCAATTGATCAGAATTAATAATTCTTAGTCAAACCTGTTGTCACAGGTCAGTGTAGGGAATGATATGGATCCTAATAGGTTTGATTGGTTGCACAAGAGCTACAGGCAAACAAATGCTCAATGTCTCTTTAGCAAAGAAAATTTAGGAGTAGATAGAGCAGCTTAGAAATTTTGTGAGTTAGCGATGTGAGTACATATCATGGTTAGAGCCAGAAAGAATAATCATAATTTTTACAAGCCTGTCTTGCTAATTCAAGCAAAAAGACAAATCCTAGAATGAGTTAATAATGGTATAGAAATAATTGTATAGTTATGTGATGACTCATTCCATGTTTACTAAAGATTAATTCTGTAAACATTTATCAAATGCTAATTTGGGATATTGTGCCTTTGGGTAATGACTTCAATACAGATCTTGCCTTTTTTAAATGAGATATATAAACATATAGTACATAAACTATTAAAAGTTATCATTTTTCATGATAATTAAAAGGTTTAAAATAATTGGTTGAGAAATCTGGATTTCTGACTTTCACTGATATTTTTAATGCATTTTTGTATAAGATAGACATCTTTCAATGATATTAATATATACCATGATAGAAAGTGTTAATGGTACTGCAAAAAGTTATTTAAATTTTTGAATCTTAGGGATGTAGATGAGATTGCTATTAAAGCAGAAAATACAGCCAGTTTTCAGTGTTTTTGTTCAGCAAATGTTAATTGAGCATCTATTTTGGAGAAAGACAGCACTCAGCTGCATTTAACCAGCAGACCTACTGTTTTTTTAAATCCAGCATAATTGTTTTGTGTTTTATTTTTATTTTTTAAAATTATCATGCAATAAAATTGATTTATCCTTGGTGTACAGATCTCTGATTTAAATGTGTATAGGTTTATGTCATGACCACCACCATGGGGATACAGAACAGTTTTGTCACTCCCAAATTTCCCTTGTGCTATATACCTTTACAATCACCTCCTTATCCCATCCCTGATCCCTAAAAACCATTGATCTGTTCTCCATTACTTTAGTTTTATATTTTTGTTAATGTTATAAAATATTATTAGTACAAATAGACTCATATGGTATGTAACCTTTTGAGATGGGCTTCTTTTACTCACAAAAGTTGCCTATGAGTTTTATCTAAGCTGTTGCATATATCTATAGTTTGTTCTTTTTTATTACTTAATATTATCCCATTGTGTGAATGAACCACAGTCTATCCATTTAGCACTTTTGAATGGCAGGTGGATTGTTTCAAGTTTTGGCAATTATGAATAGAAGTGTTAAAATGTTCATATATGTATCTTTGTGTGAACCTAAATTTTTATTTCTCTAGGGTAAATACCCAGGAATGGGATTGCTGAATCAAATGGTAAGTGCATATTTAACTATATGAGAAACTGTCGAATTGTTTTCTAGAATGGCTGTACCATTTTGCATTCTAAGCAGCAATGAGAGTTCCATTTGCTGTGCATCCTTGAAAGCAAGCACCTGGTATTCTCAATATTTTTTATTTTAGTCATTCAAATAAATATGCAGCAGTATCACATTATCGTTTTCATTTGCATTTCCCTAATGATGTTGAACATTTTTCATGGGCTTTTTTTCCTACTTGTATATAATCTCTAGTGAAGTGTCTATTCAAATCTTTTGTTCACTTTTTAATTGGGTTATTTTCTTCCCATTGAGTTGTGAGAGTTCTTTATACATTTTGGATACAAGTCCTTCATTGAATATGTAATTTTTAAGTAGTTTTCTCAGTCTGTATCTTGTTGTTTTATTCTCTTAACATTTTTTTCCTGCAGAGCAAGCATGTTTAATTTTGATTAGCCCAATTTCTGAAATTTTTTTAATGGATTGTGCTTTAGGTGGCATATCTAAGGACCCTGCCTCATCCTATGTTATGAAGATATTCTCCTGTGGGTTTCTTTCTAGGAGCTTTGTAGGTTTTAGTTTTACATTGAGAATTATGATTCATTTTGAATTAATTTTTCAAGATAAGGTGTGAGGTTTAAATCAAGGTCCATCATTTTGTATACAGATGCTCAATTTTCCAGTACCAATTATTGTTAACACTGTCCTTTCTACATTGAAATGCTTTTGCAAATTTGTCAAAAATCAACTCACTGTATATGTGTGGACTCTGTTTTGTTCTGTTCATCTTTATGTCTGTCTTCTTGTTAGTAGCACTTTTTCTTGCTTATCGTAGAATGATAGCAAGTCAAAAAAATCCTCTGATTTTATTGGTTTTTATTTCAAAATTGTTTTAGCTATTTTAGCTCCTTTGACTTTTTATATGAAATTTAAAATCAGCCTGATTATAGTTATAGAAATATATTTTTGGGATTTGGGCTGGAATTGTATTAAATCTGTGGATTAACTTAGAATTAAAATCTTTATGTTGACTTCTCAAATCCATGAATATGATATCTTTCTTTTTATTAAGGTTTTGTATTATTCTTTCTATGTAGTGCTAGATACTATTTGATAATACTTTTTGAGGATTTTTTTTTTGGCCTCTATGAAGAATATTGGTCTGAAATGTTCTCTATTTTTGTGCTGTATTTGTCTGGTTTGGGTACTACAGTATTGCTGCCCTTATAAAATGAGTTCTTTCCTCTTGTATTTTCTGAAAAATATTGTGGAGAATTAATATTGTTTTTACTTAAATATTTGGCAGTTTAACTACCTGGGCCTTGAGATTTCTTTGTTGGGAGGCATTTAACTATGGATGCAATTTCTTTAATAATTATGGGACTATTTAGGTTTTGACAGTTTGTGGTTTTCAAAGAAGTTGTAAAAATTACGTATGTAGCATTGTTCATAGTATTCATTATTTATTAGTATTTTAATGTCTGTTGGGTCTGTAATGATATCCTCATTTCAATCCTGATAATGGCAATTTATATCTTTTCTTTCTTTTTATTTTAGTTAATAGAGGTTTATAAATTTTATGGATCTTTTCAAAGAAACACCTTTTGGTTTCTTTTGTTTTTCTCTATTGTTTTACTCTTTGTATAGTCATTGATATCTGCTTATATCTTCATTATTTACTTCCTTTGCTTTCAGTTTATTTTTCTATCCTTTCCTAATTTTTATGATAGAAATTTATATGTGAAATCTTTCTTTTTTCTCATCTGAGCATTTAATGCCATAAATTTCCCTTTAATTAGTGCATTAGCTATATACTGTAAATTTTATTGTGTTGTATTTTTATTTTAATTCACTTCAAACTTTTTCTAATTTCCACTGAGACTTCATTTGGTCCACTTAGTTCGTCGAAGGTGTTAGTATAATCATGATAAGGCTAAAATATCAGCATTTTCAGGAAATTAATAAAAAATTTAATCCTGGGCAAAATATTTTCTCCCCTGAATTGAGAGAAAATAAAGATACCACTAGTATAATTGCATAATATTTATAAATAATTCTATTTAAACAGTGTTTCAATTTGCTGTGTTTGCATTTCTTAGCCTTGAACCTATTTAATACGAATAAAAGAAAAAGTCTCTTTAAAAAAGACCACAGGAAAAAATTGTGAAAAGAGTTTGCCTTAGGTTTCTGTGGAGTGTTGTACATGAAAATTTAAAATAATTGACCATATGTTATTGTTTGTAACAAATCACTGAATCATTTACAATAATTCTATTATGTTATTTTCAGTGAGCTAAATGAGTTGAGGTGTTTTGTGTTATTAAAAGAGTATGATTTAGGCACTGTGGAGAATACAGGCCAATAAATTATATTAAGGCCTGTACATACAGGTTTATCTAGAAAAGATTTATCTTCTGCCAAGGCACTTAGTTTCATTTTTATGATTTGTACATGAGGATTATTTTGAAATTTTCAGTTTTTAACAAAGTCCATTTAATCTTTTATCACTTGATTCATCATCTTCAAATCTTGCACAGATTATACTTGAGATACATATTTGGTTGTTTGTGCTTCAGAATTCTAATAATTCAAATATTAAAGAATTCCCCATTCATTCACCTCTTCCTCAAGCAGAAAATTAATGGCTTATTGAAATGAAAATCTTCACTAATGTGAATATTTTAATTAAACACAGAAACTTAATCATGACATGGTCATTTAGGAAAGAAGAGAATAGATTGAAAGAACATCATGATGATCAGTGTTTATTGCTTACTCTACCTTGTGTCAGATTAATAGTTCGATATAAGTTTGCCATTCTTCATTTTATAAATGCAAAATTATCTAGGGCTTGCTCTATTAGTTAATACTTCTAATTTCCCTCTACCTTGCAGAAAGTCACCATTTAGTAGGATGATATAGAAATATGCAGTCAGTTTAAATAAACATGACTAAATATCTTAATTTTGCCTTCCTGCTACTTTAATTTTAAAATATAAATGAGTAGGTGTTGAGAAAAATTATATAGAATTGATAATGCCTTTACCTTAATATTAATAGCTGCTTAGAACATTTTTGGTTTATTTCTTGTTGTTATCTTTTTATTTTATACATTTAAGGTGATACAAGTGCAGTTTTGTTACATAAATACATTGTGTAGTGGTGAAATATGGACTTTTAGTGTAACTGTCAACCTGAATAGTGTACATTGTATACATTAAGTAATTTCTCATTCTTCAACTCCCTTCCATGCTCTCTCCCCCTGCTGAATCTCCAGTGATGATTATTCAGCAATTTTAAAAAATAAGTGGTTTTTACTTTAGGATAGATTTAGATTTATAGAAAAGGTGTGAAGGTAGTATAGAGAGTTGTCATATGCCCAACACCCCAGTCTTTCCTACTATTAATTTTTTACTTTAATATGGTACATTTGTCACAATTAATGAACCAATATTGATACATTATTATTCTAGTTTATACTTTATTTAGATTTCCTTAGTTTTTACCTAATGTTCACTTTTTTGTTCCAGTAGCTCATCTGGGATACCACATTACATTTAGTTGTCATGTTTTATTAGGTTCCTCTTTGCTGTGACAATTTCTCAAGACTTGCCTTGTTTGGGGTGACCTTGAAGTTTTGAGGTTACTGGTTAGGTGTCTTGTAAAATATCCCTCAACTGGGATTTGTCTGATGTTTTCCCCCTGATTAAACTAGAGTTATGGGTTGTGTCATGGGTTCCCCAAACCACCCCCATGCTTGATGCATCACTAAGAAGACTCATAGAAATTAGCATATAGTCATGCTCCCATCTATGTTTCATTACAGCAAAAGGATACAAACCATCATCAACAAAAGGAAAAGGTGCATGGGGCAAAATATGGAGGAAATCAGGTACAAGCTTCTAAGAGTCTTCTCCCTTTGAGATTACATAGAATTGTTTAATTCTCCAGCAATAAGTTCTGACTACAAAGGTGAAATGCCAAGGAAGCTCATTATAGACTTAGTGCCCAAGGTTTTTAGGATGGTCATGTAGGCTCCCTCTTCCTGACATATACCAAAATTCCAGACTCCCAGGAGAAAAGTTCTGGTGTTTGGCATAAACCACATTGTACAAAAAGTTTAGGCACAGTGAACCACTTTTGTCAATTAGGATGTTAGGAGCCCTCCAAAAATTCACACTTCTGGTGCCAGTCAAGAGCCAGCCTTGTAAGTGAAGACAGGCCTCCTATATTAACTCTTCTCTCCACGTGGATTTTTGGGAGGAAGACCACAGAGATAACATGCCATTCTCATCACATTACAAGAATATATATTATCAAGGTGACTAATTGTTGATGTTAACTCAGGAATGTTTTGTAACAGGAAGGAAAGATAATAATAATAAATGTCACACTTCTATATCCCTTATATTAGATAGTTTTCTATTGCTGCTGTAACCAAGTACCACAAACATAGTTGCTTAAAATAACAGCTTTATCACCTTATAGTTCTGGAGGTCATAAGTCTAAAAATGGGCCTTGTGGGACTAAAATCAAGGTGTTGGCTGGGTTGCATTTCTTCTGGAGGCTCCAGGGAAAAATATGTTCCTTGTTTTTTTCCAGCTCATAAAGTCTGCCCTCATTTCTTGGCTTGTGGCACCCTTCCAGCAGCGGCATCACTCCAACCCCTGTTGTCTTTCATCACATCTTCTCTCTGATCCTTTTAGGGGGCCCTTATGCTTACATTGGGTTCACCTGGATAATCCAAAACGATCTCCCCATCTCAAGGTCCTTAACTTAATCAAAGCTGCAAAGTCCCATTTGCCACGTATAGTAACATATTCACAGGTTCTAGGATAGGATCAGGAGGATGTGGACATCTTTGGGGAGTCATTATTCTACCTACCTCACGTTAACTTTCTGAGCGCTTTATTTCATATAATCCTGACCCAATTTTGTGAGATAATTTATATTACTGTCTCCATTTTATAGATGGAGAAACTTTAGCTCAGAGAGGTTAAATAACTCCCTAGGCCCACAAACCTAGTAATAATCTAGGTTCCAATGTTTCTGCTCTTGACCATTAGTTTATAGTCTTTCAAGAATTAAAATCCTCCCAATTTTATCTTTCTTTAATGACTCAGAAAATATTTTACTATCATAGACTTTTATTCTCAATACTGTTTTCTTCATTTAACTTATGATCATTTAGTAGTTTACTCTTTGCGAGAAACAGTGCTAAGTATTGAGGACACAACAATGAATGAAATTTCACCCATCTCCTCAAAGACCTTTGAGTGGATGGGGAAGACACATACCAATTTCAGTTACCATTTTCTTGGGCATTTGCAAAAATCCAATATCACAGAGAATTTTGGCCAACAGGTTACTTAATATGGGATTGTTTTGGCCAAGACCTTGAAATGCAACTCCAAATTCTAGAGCAGTTACAAAGGAGCAAGTTTGATTGGGAGAAGGTGGGGAGACTGTGCAGAAGTGGGAAAATTGAAGACAGAGAAGGGGAAGATGATCAGCTGGTAAAGAATTATGATGCTGTGGTCAGAAACTTATATTTGACTCTGAGGATGCTGGGTAGCTGCTGAGGAATCTGAGTGGCACTATGCTTGGCCCACTGAGCTCAGTAAATTGTTACTCAGTACAGGAATTGAACAAATAAATTATGTGGCTGATGCTTTAGGCATGGTAAATGACTTATGGGCAAAAGCAAGCAGTCATTCTTAACACTGGTTTACAAGTCCCGTTAGGAATTTTAAAATATCTCAGTGCTCTGGGCTCTCGCAGATTATGCTTCAGTTGGCCTAGGCTGGGCAGAGTGAGTGAGTGAGTAAGAGTGTGTGTGTGTGTCTGGCTGTCTTAAATTCTCAAGTGATTCCAAGCTGTATCCAGGGTTCTTGAGAACTATTAGAAGGAAGAAAGGTTAACAGAAAATAATTAGAAGAGGTTTAGACTTGAGTTAATAAAGTCCTTGACAAAGCATTTATTAACAAGAGCAGAGAGAATTAGTTCTGATGGATGTTACAGAGGGAAAGGCAGCTGACCTCAATGGTTGCCAGGCAGAGAAGGAATTAGATAAAGATCCATACGTAAGGGGACGAGATATTTTGATCCTATAATTTCCAACACCTAATATAGCTCCTTGCACTTAGTAAAAGATCGTATAAATATCTATGTCCAAGTAACATTTAGTATATTCAGATAGCTTTGCTTTTCTTAGCCTGATATTGAGAGAATGAGAGTCTTAATTAGGCACAAAGGAGAGGAAGGGAGAGATGACAAGCAGCAGTTAACATTTAATGAGCTTCAGTGTGTTCTAGGTATAGTAGGAGGTGTTTTACTTGTATTACCTGATTTACATGAGCTCTTAGGTCACTGAGCATAGGGAAGTTCTCAGGAGAGCAGGCTTTGGACAGCTAGAAAGGAGCCCTGACCTCCTCAGGTGCTGGGGGCTGGTGGGTGGGGGCAGGAGAAAGACAACTGGAAGGTAGGAGAACAGCAGAGATACATGTTCTGTTTTGTAAGTGCTATGGTTTGAATGTGTCCCCTCCACAATTCTGGTATTGTCTATGTGATAGTATTCAGAGATGGGGCCTTTAAAAGGTGATGAGGCCATGAGTGCTTCTTCCTCATTTATGGGATTAAGGCCCTTATGAAATAGGCTTCAAGCAGTATTTGGCTAGCTTGCTCTCTTGCCCTTCCACCTTCTGCCATGTGAGGACACAGCAAGATGGCCCTCACCAGACCACATGCTAGCAACTTGATCTTAGGCTTCCAGCCTCCAAAACTGTGAGAAAATACATTTTTTGTTCTCTATAAATTACCCAGTCCCAGGTATTCTGTTATAACAGCACAAACAGACTAAGACACTAAAGTTTTGTGTAAGGCTAACTTGTTTGGGGAAGGGAAAAGTCAGAATTATCAGTGAGCTAGTCCCAGAGTAATACATACAGAAGACTTACCATACAGGTCTGAGCTTAGCACTAGCTGTGTTTGATTAATAGAACTACGCAATGCCTTCACCTCTTTTGTCCTTGTGCAGTGAAGACTGCCTGGTTTTTATTCTAAACCTCCACTCTTGGCTTTATTTACCACATCACCCAAGATAAACACTGCCTACCTGTTTTTCGACCTCACTGTCCCATTTTTAAAACCACATATCACTTGTTGGCAGTGCCTCATTGTTCTAGTCAAACCTCCTTAAAACCTCCTTGTCCTATGCTGAGAGGCAAGTGCTACCCCTTCTTCTCCCATATGGAGACCTCAAAATATCAGCTTCCATGTACCCCCAAACTGGGAAGGTGCCTGGAATCCTCTGCTTGGTTCAGTATATCAACCATAATTATCATCTGAGATTTCTTTTACAAAAAGTATTTTAATTTTTGATTTTATAAACAGTATAACAGTGTTAGAGAAAGTACAGAAAACTGAAAAATATATTTAAAATTCATTTAAATGCCAGATTTAAGAGAGTGGTTACCTATAAGAGGTAAGAGGGATATGATCTGGAGTGCTATATAGAGGCCTCCAACTCTATTAGTTATGTTTTATTTCTTAAGCTGGATGGTGTTATCACAGATGTTCTGTTTTGTTCCATTTTATATGTCTCCAATATTTTATTGAAGAATTGGTTGTAAATCATACCAACCTAATAATGTCATTCTCTTTTTATTCATTACTTTGCTGCAAAATCTCAGATCATTCAACTTTGTTCTCCTTGTAAAACTTTAGAGGGAAAATCTCCAACAGATCATATAGGCAAGTATTGTTTTATATGAGAGACTCAATTTTTTAATAATGCTTTTCTATTTAATCAGAATAAAAATTGAATATTTAATAATCCATAACCAAAACTTTCCACTAGAAAGTAATTACATGTCTGTGTTGCACTGGGATATGATATTCAGCTCTTAAATTCTGTGCTTTTATGATCCTCTCTAAAATGCTAGATTATAAAGGTGAAATGAATCATCTTGTTTTCCAACACCAGAGGGCACCAAATTTCCTCTTGGAGCAAAACAATCAAAATAATTTTTTTTCCATCAAATAATTTCATACACTGAGTAGAATATGGAATGGTATACTTTTAGTTTCTTGACAAATCAAAAAGTAAGAGATTTTGTGTTTTGTGAGAAAGGGTTTAGAGAATCATAGTAGGGCTTTCTCTTGCATGTGCAGTTTTCTGAAAATAGGCATGTTCCCTAAATTAAAGATAAAATATCAGTGGCAAGTGTTGTGCTTCAGTATGGAGGGGGGTGCTAACAGAGAGGAGTGAAATAATGTAAGCCAGTAGATTTCAGTGAACTATTCATACACACTGATGTTTAGCTGAGTTTTCTTAAATTACATTTCATAGATTATCCTTCCCTCATTCTTAAATAAAAGTGATTGGAACAAGGCCAACCCAATGACTTCTTTTCACTAATTATGCTTTTTTTTTTGTCCAATTAAACAGTTAAAGATATTTTTACATTGTACCCTAAATTGTTTCTGGCTATTGTATTTTCCTTTTTCTCTTTTATCTCCAGCCACAGCAATTGATAATCTGTTTAGTTGTCTAATCACTAGCAAATACAAATGAGGCAACTTCTATAAAGCAGTAGCATAATCCAGTGGGATAAATATTAATACAAACATGTATTTTAAGGAAGTAAAGGCACTAGGTCCTTATATATACCTACTTTGATTGTGCACTTCTTTCCTATTGCTGCTGTAACAAATTACCACAAATTTAATTGCTTAAAACACAAAAATATATTATAGTTCTGGACATCAGAAGTCTGAAATGGATCTCGCAGGGCTAAAATCAAGGTCTTGGCAGGAGTGCATTCCCTTTTGGAGGCTCCAGGGGAGCCTGTTTTCTTGCCTTTTCTAGATTCTGAAGTCTGATGGTATATT